TCATGAGAAAACGGGCGAGCGAGAAAAGTCTAGAAGTAATCTTTGAAGTAAGAGATTTTGTGGGGTGCAGGATTATAAGTGTGGATGAAAAACAATTTAAGCTTGTGAGTCGACCTCAGTTTGACAGCTATATCAATGTCAGGCCTGATCATATTTTGAAGACTTCATTCTAAATGGTGTCTTTAAGCCGCAGCAGGAAGTAAAGCCGGCGTTAGCACTTCAGACGCTGTAGATTTTCACTCTGAAAGCACAAGGTGTGGGGGAATTACAGCTGACAAAATGAAGTTTTTCGGGGGCTCATCCTTGACTATATCCCTGGGATCATGGGAGGGGATTGGGGCGATGCGCAGAGAGGTGCCGTGTTAGGGGCCTCTAAGGGCCGACGCTGGCTGGGCCCTCATTCACGGGGCTTTCTGATTTTTCTTTTCTTTCTTTCTTTCTTTCTTTCTAAAATCGTGTATCATTTCAGCTGCACTGGCCTTTTCCACAGCTTGTGCACACACACATACACACATGGTGGATTAAAAGCACATCTTGCATAAACACGGAAAGAAAATCCTCCGCCATGAGTGAGGCGGGTGACTCACGATCACGCAGACCACTGGCCCTTTCTCTCTGTGGGTGTGTGATGCAGTGCTTCTCAACCCCGTCCTTAGAGACCTACAGACGGTCCACGTTTTTGCTCTCTCCTTGCTATCAGAGTAAAAAAACATGGACTGTCTGAGCGTCCAGGAGGACTGGGTTGAGTAATGCTGGTATAATTAACCAGTGTCAAAGCACCTCTGTGTTAACAGACTAACTGGACACATGGCTGACCTGTGAAGTGATGCAGGTCTGTCCGGCACTGACCTCTGATCAGCATGCCTCTCCAGGGCAGACCCTGCATACACTTGTTTCTTTAGTTAAGGATTTTTTTCCAAATAGACATACGACTGAGAAATCAGGGTCAGCCAGTCCCTGGAATAGCTGAGGTTAAGGACCTTGCTCAAGGTCCCCTCAGTAGAATTACTCTGCTGGCCGTAGTATTTGAATCAGTGACCTTCTGATCACAGGTACGGTGTCCTAACCTCACACACCTGCATCACAACACCACATCTCGTGTATGAATTTAGCAATATTTTTTTTAAATAACCCCCAGTGGTTTAAAACCCCACCGAAGAGGGGTGGCAGGTTTCCTAGGCAACCGGTGCGGCCAGTGCCAGGCCCTGAAATAGCAAGCAGGCGTGCGGCCGTGGTGGCACTGGGTGCCAGGCGTCCAGTTTGTCTGCTTGGAAATGTGGTTTATGCCTTTTTTTTTCTTTAATTTAAAGAAGCACCTTCATGTTCACATGAATGGCTTTGCGCTCCAGTCCTGTCATGGCCGATGGAGGATAGTCACTGCAGACATGGCGGCGGTTACCAGACCACAATAAACAGGCTTTAAGTGCTGTAGTGAGACCCATGGCTTTTTCCAGGGGCAGCTTGACTGGCACGAGATCAGTGAAGATGGCACAGTTACAAACACTGCCCCGGGGCGCCACCCTTTTGGTTAAAGCGTGTCTTTGTGTCTCTGCCCGCAGGTTCTGTGTGGGGGACAAGTTTTTCCTAAAGAACAACATGATTCTGTGTCAGATGGACTACGAAGAAGGGCAGCTGAACGGCAGCTTTGAGACGCAGGTTCAATAGCCGGGGGCGGTCAGGCTGCGTCACTGGTCCCCGCAGTGCCATGGATGGCCAGCTGCAGAGGGGGGGGGCGCCACCCTGCTCATCTGCAGTACTTTCTGATGCCCGTTCAGTCCCTGAAGACTCTAACTGTAAATGTTGTAACACAGCTTCCCCAACACTGAGCAGTTGTGAGGCCGCCCTGTACAGCTGTGCTTGCTTAGCTGCACACTGTGTCGCCTGTGTCTGTGATGCCCACCCCCCCCCCCACCCCCCCTTCAGGAATGGGTCCTTAGAGGGTCTGTACAGTATGTTTTTCTGTGTATATATAAACGGGAACATTTATTTTATGAAAAATGTAATGCAATTTTATTACCATTGTGAATTACAGATTATTAATGTTCAGTCCTATTTCTGTCCCCCCCCCCCACCCCTGCATCCCCCACCCCATACCAAAGTCCTTTGGAGAAGCTGGTGAGTCAAGATTCAGTCTGTTCTTCTAAAGCAACCAGCACGATCTTTTTATGGAGTTTAAGGAATCACACGAACATTTTTACTTAACTGAACCAAGTAAAAATATTTCACTGTCTGAATACATTGATCAAACATTCCGAGAAAAAGCTTCAGTTGTCCAGTTTGGAATAAAATAATTCAGACTTGAATGTGTCCCTCCTTAATGAATGAAGGTGTTAAAAGGGGAAGTGTGTCTCATTTGTTCCAGACAAATATGCCACACACACACACACGCTGAAGTGACTACATTATTGCTCAGTTATCAGCAGTTTTGTTTTACAACACATTCTTAATGCTCCAAATCAAATGCTTGCCTCCCCACATTTACAGCACACAAATACTTTAGATGTGAGTAGGTATTCTATACACAGGATATGCAGAATGAGTAATGAGGCCAGTTTGCTTTATGTTTTGGTTGCGTTTCCTGTTTTTATGAGTCTGGAACCACAGGAGTTGTGCTTTGCAGCCTGTATACCATCTAGAGCAATTAGCCGTTTTTGCTGTAATGGAAGTATGACTGAAAGTGATTGCTTTGAGCTTATTAAAGGATATGTAGCACTTAACAGACTCAAAATGATCTCTTTGTAGTTTAATCCTAAAAAAAGGATTCTTTCTGCATTCGCCACAGAAGAAGTTTTCAGTACTTGTTTTAAAAAGCTTTTAAATTAAGTTTAAAAGAGGCTGTAATTATAGAGAACAAACCTTCTTTATGAACATTTCTGGTAAGCAATGGTCTGAAACTCCAAAAATAATGTTTGTACCATATCTGAATAGCTTTAAAAGCTTCTGTGGCAGTATTTGTTTACCTACATCAACCCAGTTTTTGTGGGACAATCTCAAGGCCAACACCAGGATGAAGATGTCACCTTTGTGCTGTAACAGTACTGTGGGTATAAGGACAACCATCATCTTCTGGGTCACCTGTCAGTTTAGCTGCTGATCATCTTTGATTATGCAAAATGTCTCATTTGTGATAAAGTATATCCATCCATCTAATGGTTTTAGTCCATAATAATGAATGGCATCAGGAAGAGATACAAGTTTTACAGCAAAGTAACAGCAGCCTCATCCCTGAGCTGTGGGACCCACATGAAACTCCTCGCAGTCACGAGCGTGATATGAAATAACAGTTGTCGACATCTTAATAATGAAAATGCAGGTATCCTGCCTCCCCAAGCAGACAGCACCGTTCCGAGCACAGAGCGAGGAATGCTGGCAGCGGCTCCATGGCAGGCCGACCGGGTGTGCATTGTGCATTAATTGGAAATTCATTACGTTTCCTGACTGACCGGCAGATGTTCAAATAAAAGGATTAGCAAGACGGGAATTACACCACATGAGAGGTAATTTTAATTGCAGCTTCAAGATTGATTTGCAGAGGCAGACAAGCAGGTGCCGTGCAAAGCAGTCAGCTGCTCGTTTTTGGGACGAATAACGTGGAAAACAGCTCAGTGGGCAGCAGCAGTGTGTCAGCTCCCTGTTAGAGCTTCAGGGGGCTGGGCAGACCCCGCATGTCGGAGGATAGTGCTGCACAGCTTCAAGATGCACAGGAATTGCAAGGGACTCGTACACAGCAAAGACGACTGAACAGGCTGTTCTCCATGCATTGTTCCTCCCTTATTTACTTTGTCGATACCTCATTGCTTTATTCTCTGGCACTTTTAAACAGCCGGCTGTCCTGCAGTATCAGTGGCCCATCTGGGCCTCGACCAGCGACCTTCTGTTTGTACATCTGGGGCTCCTGACCCCTGGGCCTCCCACAGTTTCATCACTGTGTGGATGGAGTGCAGTGCTGCCGTCTTGTGAGTCTGTAGTCATGCACTACAATTACTAACACATTCCAACACCAACAGGTCATCTTGGAATAATCTGTGTTACATTATACAATAAAATGTTATACTATAAATCTACACCCTGTAATTACTTGTGGTCTGCCTGGACGCTTTATATTATGAAGGTAAGTTGGTCATTATTTTTGAATGAATAAAGATTAACGATAGGAAGTTTATTTGCTGTTGAGGTGGCTATGACTACCCCTTGGAGAAATTATGTGCAATTTTTTTTTACGTATTAGTGTGATGTTTTCGATTGTATTATATCACACAAATAATTGCTAAACATGCTAAATAAAAATCTACCCATTACCCATTGCAATATACCATAACTAAAAACTAACCAAAAATGCTAGTGATTTATCTTTTATGTTCAAAGAAAAAGTACAAAGAAGAGTTTCAAGGCCCTTAAACTAGCAGCCATCAACAAATGAATAATAAAAACTGCAATTACATTTTTTTGTGCTTCATCAAAAACATGTATGTAGTTTTGTGACATTCAGGGAATATGATATGAAGGTAGAAAGAAGTAGAACTGTGAATACTGTGAATGAACTGCATTTCATTTTATTATCTTAAAACAGGGATTAAACGCCTCCCTGAAGAGAGTAAAGCTAAATGTATGTTAAATATGTTTAGAACAAAACAATAATTCTACCAAACTGGTAAATGCTTTAGGGATGAAACTTTATTAGAAACTTTTTAAACTTGCTTAACACAAGAGGGCACCAGACATGTTGACAAAGGTCCGTGTGAGAAAATACAAATCCGAAATCCAACACTGGGATTTATATTGTGGCGAGTATAATGATTTCATTGGACAGCTAATGTATTCCCAGTGAAACATGGTGAACCAACAGAAGCTGGCAGGTAAACAAAACTGTGCAATTGTTTGTTTGTGTTGCGATAAATAAGATCTGAGGAAAACTTTAATTGACCAGTAATTGCAAGTTGTTTTATTTACTCTATATGAAGATCCATCAACAGAAGTGCCACAGGACAGTATAAAAATTATTTACTGATATTAAAGCAGTATGTGCTCAGCTGTTATTCTGTAGTTGGAAGCATAATTGCTGCATCTGCCTTGGATCTGAGGGCTGGTTGCGTTGAAAACAGACCTGAAAAATGTAAATTGACCTTGATAATGGAGGAACCTTGAATTCCACTTCATTTGCTACACTAATAGAAGTGTGGATGACCTCAATCAAAAATGTTTTCTGCCATTTTCTGCAAAAAGATGGGGGTTTATATGTTTAAATAAGTTGATTAAATTGCTTGCTCTCATATTAGCTGGCTGGTTTTATAAGAGCCAAAGAGCTGGGCCAGGAAAAGGGATTTGGAATGCCCCCCCCCCCACCCCCACCCCCACCCCCACCCATACACACAAACACACTCTCTCACTCACTCTATTATACCATGACCCTGGACTTGGCAATAAATTGTTTTGGTAATCAGCTTTTTGAAAAGCTTATTTGCAGCTTGTTCTGTGTTTATTGAGATTCTCAGAATGAAATATAAAATTGGATTTCATTAGATGAGCAATTTTCTCATCTCATGGCAAAGGGAAAGAGAATCACCTTATTCTTTATAGAGCAGAGTATGTCTGTGTATGTATGTTGCAGTCTATTTCTTACATTATTACAATCCTAACCTGCTGCACTCAGATTTCCGAAGCCGGCTCGAACCATCAATTGAAGGATGCTCTCCCTGAAAAAACGAGCAATGTCACTGCCTGAGAAAAGAGGAAAGATGTTTTGTGCACATCTGTGTGAATACATATCAAGTCATGCCTGCTGCCAAATTGCAGAGAGCTTTGATGAAACATCAATTTAGCCACAGCTGTACTTAACTAATGCACAAATGGTGTATTCAATCATTCCTGCGTTACGCAGCATCTGACGCTGTGCTCGCTGGAGTCTGGAGGTTCCAGGGTCTCAATTTTGCTGAAGTTTCAGTCATTTTCAGCTTCCCTGGAGAGAATAAGCAGATTTTCCTAAATGGGACTCTTGAATTGCAAAGACCTCACTACAAGCTTGGAGGACTCTTAACAGGGTGTCAGTGTACTTCTCAGGATGGTGTAGCAATATCACAGCATGTACATAATTAAAACAATTATTAAGCAATAATAATTTCATTCAAAATTTTCCAAAGACTACAATATGGGGAAAATCTTTTGCAAGCACTTATCAGGATAAAAGATTGCCATCCAGTTTTATTGAGAAATTTTTCCACTGAACAATTCTTACTGGAACAATTCTTACTGGAACTCTTAAAAATCAAATAAAGCTTGCAGTTAGGGACTATCAGCGCTATATATATATATATATATATAATTTAAAGGAAAATAAAAATGCATGCGTAAGCTGGAGCTGCTCTGTGGGAGCTGGTCTGAGAGAGAACGTGCAGCATGGAGCTTCTACTTGCTGCGCTGCGTGAGTCAGTCGTGCACACAGAGGCCTCTCCAGTCTCCCGTTTATGGCGCTCTGGAGTTAAAATGCATGCAAAGCTCCACCTGGATGCTGTTTTAGCAACGTGTGGAGGGCTGGCTAGAGCGTCGGGGAGTAAAGGGTATCGGGCATGGCAGGTCGATGGCTCAGGTGCCTCACGCTACAGCTCAGGGCTCCTCCCCTATCATCATCCCATCACTCAGTCTGCTTCTTGTCGTCCAAAAATGACTTAAGCCACTTTTCAGTCGGCAGACGTCTTCTAAAGCTGGCAGGATGCACATTCAGGACTAAGTACACAGATATCCAGAATGACTAATATATTTTCATAACCAGTTATGAAACACTTGGTATATGACAAATTAATGAAGGTAGCCAACCATCTGTGTTTTAAGCACACAGAGAGGAACGCTCTTTTTGATGTGAAGCAAGCACGTGGCGGCCTTCTTCTGAAAAAGCAAAGGACACAAAAGCATTTCATAATCCTGTCCATCTCAGACAGTCCAGTTATGTGTATGTACAACATATATATATATACACACACACACACACACATATATATATATATATATATATATATATATATATATATATATATAGGTGGAACCAGAGTTATCCCTTAAACACCTGATATATATTTTTTTATATATTCTTTAAGTGTGCATTTTGCAGTTTTGGCCCAGTACTTTCGGCTTCAGATGAAAATTGATCCCAGTAAATTCTTACCTGTGATCCATCAGAGCGAAAGGTCACACGTGAAACAAGTTCCGATGGTCTCAGTCGCTTGGATAATGGGGCTGTACTCCACCGTGGAATGCTGTTACGTAGAAATAATTGAGGAATCCGTGGACCATTGAATTGGGTGGCGGGGCTTGGCGATAATGCCGGTGAGCCAGAGAGAGCTCTGTGCTGGTTCCGGTGAGGCCTCTCACAGAGAAATGGAAGTGCAGCACCTGTTTGGGCCGCATTCTACCCCACTGTGAAGTACCCAGGATCAGATGTCATTTATGCGCTTACAAACGACTCAGATCATCTCCGACGGTGGAGAAGTGACAGCCTGGCAAGAATACGGCAAGGAGAAGCAGCCCAGTAGTGCAATGCGAAAAGCCAAGCTCCGTTTTCATGGTAATTATTTCTCCTTAATGCAGCAATGTATTAATTTTAATTTGGATTCCAAATGGAAATAAGCCTGATATCCAATTAAATCCACATTAGATAGCGATTCAATTAGCAACGTATCATTCCATTACAATATATTACCATTTGATGTTAATTATTTCAAATGGGCCTTCCATTTTCAGCCATGTAGATAGTCCACAATCCACATTTGCCATCTAAAGCTTTTCAGCCCAAATTAGCTGATTGTTTTTGTCTTTTGAAGACTCAATGTGATAAAGCTATTCAGCCGTTAAGGTTTCATTTTTGCTCTTGAATACAGCTAATAACTTTTATAGCTCATTTTATGTATTATGCTTTCAATTGCAGAATTGTATGACAGAAGCTTTATATGATGCTTCAGTTCATCTTCCATTCATCTTCATATCAATTTCTTAAGATTGTGATGGAGAGAGTGAACGCAGGGAACAGGCCTTCAGAAATATGGGATTTCATTTATCCAGAGCCTCTTTCAGACTCTGTCAGTTATGGTCATCACATTCAGTACATTCAGGCCGCTCGCTTCCTCAGCATCGATTACCGCTGTGGTAGACCAAGGAGCAAGAATCATCCTTAATCATCCATAATTTTGTATAGCACCACAATAGCACATGTGGCTATTCTATTGCATGTTTTACCACAGGATGGTGTCATCAGCTGTTCACAATGTGGTGTTCTCAGAACACTGCTTCTTATTCCACGGTCTGGACTCAAAAAGATAGCTTGGAAAGTCAATGTTTTCCTCAAATTATCACCCATACTGCCTCAAGGCAATAAAACAAACGTAATTAGCTACCTCACAAACCTAAAAAAAATAGAACATGAAAAGTTTAATAAAACAAGGAAATTAACAACCTATTGCAGAAGTGCGCCAGTTCTGTCATCATGCACCTTAAATAAAGGGGATACCGCTTACAAGATACATTTTGTTTTCAACACTACTCTGCCCTCTAAACGAAGTAACTACCACTCAGAAACAAAAATAGCAAACATGTCTCAAGCCAAGACAGGCAAAATGAAAAGAGAAAAGTAATTCAGTTTAAAAAATGGCCAACTTGTTTTCAAGATAATCAGTCTCCCAATTCCATGTCTCACAATGTTCATATTACAATATGCTTAAAGGAAACAACAAGGGCCTTTGTCTAATAGAATAGCCTCCCCAACAAAGCAAGAGGGGAGCTCAGAGGAAGAAAAACGATTGTTAAAAAGGAGACCTACCTGCCCAAAAGACATGCGGCGATATAAGAGTCATACAAAGCCACAATGATCATAATGCAAAATGTAACAGCTGCCGTTTGAGATTTCTCTTTATAGCCAGCACACTTAAAGAACACTGACCACGCTTTATTGTTTCCGCTCCGATCCAGGCAAACTATGTTCCAGTCATGATCAAAAATTTGCTCTCATTGTGTGATTCCTCTGGCAATTATGACTGAATCGACTGTCACCTTGCTATTGGCATCTAACATCAAAAACATATGAGTCACTGTTTAGCAGAGAATAGAAAAATCACAGAAACATGGAAATTAAGCAATTAAATGAAATACTGCACCTCCTATTTGAAACTGGGCGTCTGTTTTTACGGCTATTTTCTTTAAATAACAGCAATAACAGCAACAGAAATAATGCAGCCTTACAAAGTTTTACACAATAGACCAACTATAAAAATTAATGGGAGTTGGGGCAGGTTTACAGAGCACTGAAAACCACTGAAGGTAATTCTCAATAACGTAACAGTTTTGAGAGGCTAATTGTACCTTCATTTACAGGGTATTGCCGGTACTGCAGAGAACCACTGGAAACAAGGAAACACACAAAGGGGCTTTTACCACTTTGTTATTTTGGTATATTGACATTTCCTACTGAAAACACCATCATTTATGTTACAGCTTATTTCATGCCAGAATTCAATCTGGATAGGGTTTCATTTTGCTCAGCTCATCGCTGAGCGATTCTCTGTAACACTGGACCTGTTATGTGGCTTCCAAAATATTTTAATCTTTTCATACAAGTACAATTTAAGGGTTAGTAAAACTAAAAATTATATATATGAAGTACTGATAGAGGATTTTCACTGCCACAAAAAAAGAGAGTGAGAAAAAGAGACAAAAATATTGGATTTGATGAGAAAGGCCTTCTGGTCCACTCGAGGCAAATTTAAGAGTGTGAAACGTGGGAAATAGAGAATCTCTGCAATACTTAACTGGCAGAAAATGAGTATTCAGCTGCAATATGGCTGAGACATTGTTATTCCTCTCTGAAGGAAATATAGAAACCCAGTGGGGCCACACGGTGAGACTCTGCAACCTTTCAGTGACAGGCTTTATGAGCCCAACGCCGTTCGTGATGTATAGCGTAATAACACAGTCCATGACTTCAGGGCCCTGCTCTTAATATTGTGTGGCTGGGGTATCAGGCAAAATTATTGTAATGAGCCAAACATTTCCATACAACAGCAAAATGAATTAATAAGTTATGCCGGTGAAGTAACCACAGTAATATGTGTTTTTTTTTTTTTTCAAATGAGCCTTATTTTTGAGATAAATCAAATGGGGGCTCGCTCGCAGATAGCGAAATAAGATAATGACAATTCAGTTATCGGGAACGCAGGGGCCGTGTGTAACCCCCACCTCATTCACGTCCTGCTTTAAAAGAGTCACAGAGAGTCACAGAGAGTCACAGAGAGCTGTGGTCTTTGAGCGTTGCAGAGCATGCACAAACGCAGTTGGGCCCCCGTACAGATTGGGGGCTGTCACGGCGCCGCTCCCCCGCCCTCTCATCACGGCCTGTGAAACGTCCATCACAAAACCTGGACCACCCCCGCACCTGTTACTCATGTGGTACAGTCTCCCTGCGTGGCTGCTGCAGTGGAGCTGGACTCCGGCAGTACGGAACGAGCTCGAGATACCTTTTTCTGCAGAGAATACCCAGGTGGTGCATTGCCCAGGCCTAACATACACTCCGAAACAGAAAAAACTTTCTTTTGTAATAAGGAAAATAACCAGCCATTAAGAATATTTCCCTTGTGTTTCAGTGATGTTCTTTAATAACTTTACACAACCTGCCGGCTTATGAACACAGGATTAGCTCATGTGACTTTTCACTTCTATCTGTGTAGTAACTTCCCCTGTAATGAACCAGGCTTAACATTGCTTGCACACAAAGTCACCAGTTTGCTATTACTTACATAGTGCACTAAAACCATGACATTACATGTCTTCCACAGCCTGGACATTGAATGATTGCCAGTCATTCAGTCAATTAACTGATTAATATCAATGAATCATATCTCAGTTTTATCATGTAAAGGAGCATTAAATATTAGTTCTAATGGACCAAACAGGAAGAGTGATATAATCCTAGTGCAGGTA